AAGTAGGAAGAAATCTGTATCTTTCTTCCTGTGGAACAGACTGCTTTGGCAATGAGCCCAGTCATTCAGTTCTCCATGAGCTGTTATTTAAATCCAACTCATTATGACTGATTTTAGGCAGGAAGCCAAAAATGAAAAGATTGACTACATATATTTTGTCTTTCCATCCTGTGCCTTCTTTCTATCTCCAATTTTAACACAAGTGCTAACTTCGAGGTCAGGGTTAAATATATAGACACCTCAACACAAGCACTCCATTAATCCAGAATCAAATATTCCAAATGATATTGTGGCTTCAAATGAGATGAGATACCATATTCTGAAGTAGACAGTGGTTAGGTTTAACTCTAAAATGCCCATGATAATTAAAATTTTCTTTGCTGTAGCTTAAATTCCAACTTCTCTAGGCTACAGACATCCTCAAAAGATACCATGTTCATCTTTTGCCCCCAGCACCTGGCACACAGGGTCTTAGAGTAGGTGACCAGCAGAATGCCTTCTGAATTGGAACTTTAGGTCTATAGGTCCATAGTTCCTCTATTTTTTTTTTTTTTTTTGCAATCTGATCACTTCTCAAGGCCCTTTTATGTTTGCTTGTAGTTCTTTTAACATTTTACTTATGTTTAATGCAACTGGATTTTTATATGCATGTGGTAATGTGACTTTGCTCCAATCTGAAATGCCAATTTTAACACATAATAAATTCCCATTGATTTTGAATTCTTTGTTTATTCCACTCTTCTGTTGGCTTATTCTGGTGCTAGTATCATACTGTTTAAATGATGGCAGCTTTTGAGTATATTTTTATGTCTGGTAGGACAAATTCCCCCACCACCCAACCCAATTATTCTTTAAAGGTATTGATTTTACATAAATTCTTATTCCAAATAAATTTAACTTTTAACTAAGTTTAAATAAACATACAAAAAAAAGCAAAACTGACTGGAATGATGATTGGAATTTTGGCAAAAGTAAATATATATATATAGTTTTTGGAGGACTGATCTTCTACAATATCATGTCTTCCAATCCGGGAACATAGTATGGCTTAATGTATTCTGCTTTTATTTTATATTCAATAGCAAAGTTTTGTAATTTTTCTTCATATTGATCATGTATTTGTTAAATTACTTCTAGTTATTTTATAGTGTTTTATAATAAGTAGGAACAATTTCTTCCATCATATTGTCTAACATAATTTAGGAAAACTAGCTTTTTTTAACACTTACTTTTTATTCAGTCATTCACTGAACTCTTTTATTAGATATTTATTCATCCAATCAATCAACATTTGTTGAGTACCTATTACACGTGAGGCATTTTTCTGTGTACAGAGGATATGGTAGGGCACAACACAAATGAGTATTAGAGAATACACTTTTCTGTAAACCTCCCACTGCCTGTTAAGAGCTTAAAGAATGAAGCTTTTTCTTTTTTTTTTTTTTCCACATAATGTGAAGTTCAGAGTAGGCAGTTCAGGGCTGTTCAATGACTCCACATGCCAAGAGGGATGCAGAAGCTTCCTACCTTGTTGTTCAGCAGCGGCTTTTGAGGGCTTGGCACTGACCTCCAGCACCACCAGCATCCCATCTGCATTCCAAGCAGGAACAAGGGCAAAGGCAAAGGATAAGAAAAGCATGATGGCTGAGCCTGATCTCCCTACCCTTTCTAGCCTCCCCAGAATCTCCATCATGACTTCTGCCTACACTTACTGACCAGAACTATGTCACATGGCCACATCCAAGTCTCTTAGTCACATTATTTCTCCTCTCAAATCAGAACTATAAGTAAGGAAGAAGAGGGGAATTCTGAATAGATACCGAAGCAGGCCCTGTCATAATAAGACAAACTTCCTACCCTTACAGAGATGTTCAAATAATTTGTAGCTGAGTATCTGGGATTTTCAACAACTCAGTCCTTGGATCTTTTCTCTACTCTATCTCTACTCATTCCACTGGTGATATACAGGAAATTCTGTTTGGCTCTACCATTCCCTTTCAACTACATTCAGAATCCCACCACTTCTCACCATTTCATCCACTAACATTGTGATCTAAGCCATCATTATTTTTATGCCTGCATTATTGCAACAGCCTCTTAAAGCCATTATCCACATAAATAATCCTTCCTGAATTCTTAGTTCCTTGACTCCCTCTTTTGTGTTGATTTTTATCCCCACCTCGGTTATTTATTCCCAAGCTCATTCCTTACCCTTCGTAATTACCCAAAACTGCAACCCCCAAAACGATAATTTCAAAGTTAAGCATCCCACTGTTGACAACCACTCTTTCCCACCCATGGTGTCCTCTATTATTCCCATTCTAGACCCCTCCAACTCTATCGGGACCTATAATCCACTAATCCTATACTTTTTCAGTGCCCTCGCTCTCCCTTTATAGTCTTAACCCTTATACTTTCTTTTGGGCTTAAATTCTAGACTCAATCATTTCTTTGTCCACATGCCCTCAACTTCCTTGCCCTTCTTTCTATTGTACTCACTTGATTCTATCAAACTCCCAAACCTGATTAGATCCACCTCCATCTGTACCCACATAGCTGCTATGGCTGAATAAAAATATATAACCACACTGACTGATCCTACATTCAAATAACCACTAACCTGGAAGTGGAGCACTAACACTGCCTGGAAATTATACTTTATTTCCCTGGACTCTTCATTCTCTCTTCCTTTTCTTACCTTTTTCTTTCTTCTCAAATCTCCAGGTCCCTTTATTATCTGATCTTCAGTCTCAGATGATGACCTTCCTTTTCATTTCAGTGAGAAAAACAGAAGCAACCCAAAGAGAATTTTCATGAGTTCCCATCACCATACCCTATCTTCATACCTATATCTGGGCCCAAATATTCAATCTTCTCTTTTGTTAATATGAGTGAACTTTTTGTATTCCTATTAGAGCAATTACTTGTGCACTAGATTCCATCTGATCTCATCCACTCAAGGATATTATTCTGCTAATTCACCTCTGTCTTCTGTATCAAATTTTCCTGGATTATTTCCACATTATATTACTTTTTCTGTCTTAAAAAAAATACAGAAACTCTCCCTGGACACCGTTTTCCCCTTTCAGCCACTGTGCTATTTCTTTTCTTCCTTTACAGGTAAGCTCCCTGAAAAAATTGCCTATATTTGCTATTTCCAATCTAACTCCTCCCACTCTCTAACTGCTCCATTCCAATAAGGCTTGCACCCCACATTTATCAGAGGCAACTTTTGCTAAGGTTCAACACAACATTTGTCCTAGTTAACTTCTGGTCATCTTTCACATCTCAGTCAAACCCCATTGAAACATTTTCTGATTTTTCTGACCTAGTGGTCAATCCATCTATTATATGCTGTTACCATTAGATCTCTGATCACGGTTGTAGTTTTCTATTTTTATATGATTCTTTGATTATTGATTCTTTTTCCCTCAATAAATTCTAAGCTTCATAAAGGAAGGGATGATGTCTATTTCTCTATCATAATTTTATGGCCAATGCCTAGCACAATGCCTGGCACACAGAAGGCTGCCAATAAATTCTGGAAGAATGAATGCTTTATCATCCTCCTCATTTTAAACTTGAGAAAAAGGAAGCCCAGGGAAGTAAAAATAGCAGCTCAAAGGCACATTGTGGATTGTTGGCAGAACAGGGACTAGATTAGTTAAACATACTGACCACCAGCACCATCTACATACTGGGGTTACAAGACAAATGATATTTGCCCTTCTTCTCCTAGTCTAGGCCTCACAGAGCCTCCACCACATTTTGGCTGGATAGGACAGACCATACAATCTAGTGCAGTATCAAATCCTCCTTGTGTCCACAAAAGCTTGGCTATCAGGCTAATAGAGCTGCTTCACATTCTGTCGGCTGCTCTGGTTTCTGTCTTCAAAATGCCCAGGGAGAAGGCCTCTGACCAAAAAGCATCTGTTTGACTATGTATGGAGATGGATGTTAACTAGATTTCTTGTGGTGATTATTTTTCCAAACATATAAATACTGAATCATATGTTATATACCTGAAACTAATATAATGTTATATGCTGATTATACCTCAGTTAATGAAATGACATCGCAGGCTTCAGAATAAGGCCTTAGGCTCGTATTACTCATCACTGATCCACAGATTATGAACCAGGAAAGACACTAGGAGTGTGTAGGAAGAGCAACTTAACATTAAGATCCACTGTCAGGTGAAGACCAAAGAAAGAGAGAAAAACTATGTCAGAAATGAAATCGTCAGGTAAACAGGACTTAAATGTTTTAAGGAATTTACTGCATTAAAAAGATCTCCATATACCAGTTGGCAGGCTGAATATTTTGAGGATAATAAACCACTACACAGACTGTCAAGAAACACTGACTTACCACTTGTAAGGGACTGTTACTATCAAGGTGATCATATGATTTAGTATCCAAAATGGAGCACTTTGGAATAAAAAGAGGCAGAGGCACTATTAAAAATTACACTAGGACAGTGAGTGGTTACCAGACTGTCCCAGGCAAACAAGCAGGATTGTTTGCCTCCACTCATTACACATGGAGAAAATCAGGTATTCATTCAGTCATGTAAGTGATTCCAGTAGGCAAATTAACCACAGCAGCCAGAATGGACAAGATACCAGTCCAGTGTGGGCTGTATTTAAATAATTTTGACCCTGAATGGTCATGCTAATACTTAGCATCACCTGCTGAATAGAGTTGAAAGTCACCTGCTTTATCTACTTGTTTTTTTGCCCCTTTACACCTGATCTATAGTCAATCTTTAGGAAGTCCATTTCTATTCCCATTTGAAGTTTAATCCTGATGCTTAAGAAAGAGTATACTCTCTTGTGAGAAATGAAGTCAAACAGAATGCCACTCTTCAAATTTCCAGGGGCTTCCTTTTCCCTGAAAGGCAGTTGGCTTACATAAAATTCGCATGAATACGTGCCACATCCTCTTTCATCAGGACTGACTTCTAGATCACTCACCGAATCAACATAGCAAAACCAAGGTCACTAGTTACACAGCTTTATTGTAGGGATCGATACATATATCCTTCTGAGAAACATTTAAGCTATTCAATTAGTAGTTACAAACACATCAGAATTGATTTTATTGGTGTATTTCTGGTTTGTTTTGCAAGGAAAGATCATGAATTAGGTCCAAAGGCCTGATTTTAAAATTTATAAAAAGGGAGGATTAAACACTGCCATCACTACTGTGTCAAGACACACTGTATAAGTCAAATCAAGAAGACATTTCCATACAAGTCCAGCAAGGCTAACTGGCAAGCAGAATTGAAACAATCTATTATACAAAATTCAAAAGGACTCAAATAGGAATTACAAAAAAATAAAATAAAATTTTGGTCAGAAAAATCATTACTACATAAAGCTGCATAAGGATGCCTGTTGGTTGTTTTCTTTAAAGGAAAAGAAATCAAACTATTAGTTTTCTATTTATTCAGAAGGAAAAATAAGAAAAGTGTTTGGAAAAGACTTCCGATATTAAGTCAATTTCTTCTCACCTGCTATCTAGAATTCACAAACATCTGGCTTATTCTTACCAATCTGTAGAAAGGAGGAAATAAAATCGCGTTTGGCATTCAGTGGGGCACTTACAACACCCGAATGAGATCCAGAGTAATCCTAGATCGGGGGATGTCGATGTTGAGTACTTGGACTTCTACTCTTTCTCCAGGACCCAGTCCAAGGCTCCTCCTCTTCTTGGTTTTAGAAAGTTTTGCTTCTGTTACATTTCGTATGGGAATCAGCCCTGATCTTCCCACTCCTATATCCACAAAAATTCCAAACAGAGTGGCATTCTCAACTTTGCCTGTAAGAACTGTCCCAACCTGCAGGTCTTCCAAGCAGACTATGCTTCTCTTAAAATCAGGTTTATCAAAATCTACAAGCAAAGAGGAAAAAAGACAATTAGTGTGAATAATAGGTACTGTACTTCTTAAACACACAAATTAGTGCATAAGTATTTATTAAGTATTGGTCATCTACCCAGATACTTGGGGGGGAGCACAAAAGGAGCTGAAGACAGGCCTGCATTTAGAGAAAATGCATCCTAGTTGGAGAAACGGCATTCACAAAGTAGAAACAGTTCAAAAAAATTTACTCACTATCTTCTTAAGATCTATCTTGCTAACAATGTCAATATTAGCACTACAACATAAGCCCTCAGAAGAGAAGAGAGTCTTATTTTCTTCTTTGAGATGATGAATAAATATCTTTGCTCAATTAATATATAAGGTTAAATAACTAACACTAAGAAAGTAAGACCCACGGAGACAGAAGATGATCTTCTGTCTAAAAAAACAGAATTTTATCCCCAGTGTCTGGATTCTCAAACTGTTTAAAGGTGGTGGAAAATACAGCAACATTTGATCAAATATGGATGAAATCCAAATGTTCTCATCTCTCACTTCCCCAAATGTTCTCATCTCTCACTTCCCCTCAGGAATCAATTTCTATGCATTTTGAATATATTTATCCAATCAAAACATGGATTCTTGATTCCCTATGGCTCAGAAACCCAGATCAGCTAGTATGTAATCTTCCTTCCCCCCTTTCAATTCACTCACTAGCTTCTAGGGTTATCTCCTGGCCAGGCACTCTGCTGGGTGATACAGATACAAAGATGAACGTGCAGAGATTTCTGTTTTCAAGCTCCTTACAGCCAGCCCTCTTTTCCCATTTGCCCCAGTGTACATTTCTCTGTGCATTAACACTATTCCCCCAAAAGTGGGCATAAAGCATGCCAAGGAGTCAATATGGCTTTAGTTAAAACAAAAACAACAACAAAAATTTTATGAGGGAGAAGGTTAGAACAGTTTAAATGGAGCTTTTGGATTAACTGTGGATTCCATTTTTCCATGCTCTTCGTGGCCCCCTTTCCTAGGATTATTGAATGTTGATTCTAATAACAAAGAACACATTCTATGCTTGGATCTCTTTTTACTAAGACTTCATTTTCCCCTCCACCCATTCCATTTCCTTTTCCTCTACAGCTGTTGGCTTTATCCTGATTAGTTGTTAAAGCTATCCTTTACATTTGTACTAACAACTGGTCACCTCTTCATTCCCCTCCCCCAGTCCAACCATACTGAAATTAAGATGTTTAAAAAATTCAACTTTTTCTTTAAAACAAAACTAAAACCCTCTTTAAGTCTCAAATCTTATTTTCCTCATAAAAAAGGAATATGCTAAAACTGGAATTGATTCTGTAGAGTTTCACCTGATGATGAAGCAGTGAATTCCAAAAGCCAGAAACCTAGGGTAATATTACACTGGGCAAGGACTGTTATCAAAGCAAAGTGAAACTAAGTCGTTGATCAGGGTCAGAGGATGGATGGTTTTGGAGGCTCCATAGCCATTGTTTTAATGCTTGAAAACTCTTCCCCCACCTCCCCACTTTTTTCTTGCAGAAGTCCAGTTGCTACAGATTCCCGATCAGCTGCTTAGTTTAATTTTGCATGGAAAATCAGTAGGGAACTATTTAACATGTTCCTGAAGTCAGCCTGGGCCACTGAGAAATCAGAAAATCCACCCTGTACCAGGAAAACATTAACACTTTGATTGCCAAGACTACACATATTCAGTCTTCCATCACCAGGGTGCTTCTGATGAACCCAATTATAGAAACTAGCAACAAGAGTGTTAATAAAATAAAGTTGATTATGTCACTGAGAAAACAGGAGACATGAGTATGAGGAAAGAATGAGGTATCAAGAAAGGAACTACTCAATGAGAAAGTGGAAAAAAGAGATGTAATACAAATACTATCACATTGAAACATCCAAAATACTATCTGCCTCTTCAAAAGTATGACTGCCTTCCCCTTTGGGGATGGTTTGTATTAAAACAAAAGTTCTCAGACATCCTGAAAATTGTGACTTACATTAGGGCAAAGGTCAGTTCCAAAGTCTGTTCAAGAGACTTATTTGAAATACCACTTGTTACACTGATCACACTGATAAACACTGCAGTAACTGGTAAGCTCAGTCCATAGCCCAGGTTCATCTCTGTTTCTGATCAACTAGGGGCATTACCAGGTGAGGCCCTCCACTTAGCTGTTAGTTGTTTAATTGAGCTATATATAATCTGCATGTTGATCTTTGTACTGAGTCTACAGTGTAACTGGAATAACGAAAGCCACACCAAGACATAAAAACAAAGATGGACAATAAAATTCAGTACAGGATACCTGCAGTAACAGCATATATACCAACCTTCTAATGCTGTGGTCCTAGGCATACTACCCTCAAATCTCACCCTGTGTAAGAACCACTGCTCTACTTATTATTCCTGCTAAATAACACCCATGGAATTCTCATACAAGGATACCAGGCCTCCAAATGGAGATATGTCTACTGACACATTCACTCTGGATTGATCACCTGGAGGCTTTGACTCCTGCAGTTTTGGCTTAGGTCTTACTGTATGTTTCATTTTATTTTTCTTTTTAAAAAACTTTAATTTTAAAGTTACAGAAAAGCTGAGGGAATAGTACAGTGAGCTTGCTGGGTATGTTTTTAAATTCCCTTAGACCTTTTCAAAGAAGCAGGTCTAACCACCTCAACAGAGCCTATCCCAGAATGAAAAGAGCCAAGTCCTGCGCATGGTATCATTAAACTGGTTATGAGACAAGCGCGGATTCATTTAAGTCTCAGGGATTCCTGTTCGAATTTCCTGGGGAAGTAGGTCATTCGATACCTTAATTCTTTCTCACCGGGTCACTGCTCTCAACAACTATGGCTGTTATACTTCCCTCACCATCTACCTGTGCTGAAAGCTGAGAGCACTTTTAATTAGAAGGAAAATCAACAGAGAGATACTATCTTATTTGTTCAATGCATTCATTGACAAGAGAATCCAGGAACTCGGAAGGCTATAATTTGGGAAGAAGATTCACTTTTTAGTCTGTGAACTGAATACTTTACCTTGGACTTTAGACTTTTAAGTGATAAAAACAGCTTACAAAAGGATTATGAAAAATGTATACCTCTGTGCACATAGCTGCAAATGTATGATGTATTTAGTCTTGTGTAATTGAAAATAAGCATGGGATGAGGAGTCTGGGAAGGGCCTTCTAGCTTTGGGTGGGTACACTAACTGCAGTGACTGTGAGGAAGATCACCACACTCTCTCAACAGGAGAATATCCATTTTGCCTATGGCATAGGATTGTTGTCAGGGCCACAGCAGGTAATGTGAGCTGTGTAAATGAAAGGGGCTGTCATTCAAGTTCAATTGTTTACCTGTTCGGAAGTCAAAGCTTTCAGGTTGGTTGAGACCATCTATGATGACCTGTAAAGTGTGCACTGTTGTTTGCAATCCTTCTGCAATTTTCTCTATCCCTTCCTTTTCAAGGAATGAGTTTATTTTTTGTTCCATTTCGGGCTTTCCAATCTCACACAGTGTCTCTTCAATGAATGATAAAAATCTGCAGGGGAGAAAAAAAAGCCCAACACTTATCAATATTACTTATTATTACTTATCTTTACACAGGCCACCCTAAAACACATTCATTTCAGATCCAGATATAAGTTAATCTTTGTTGAAAATCTAGTATTTGCTCCATGCTCTAACAGATGATCTCTCTTGGAAAAGAAGAGAGGGGATGGATTTAGGTTCTTGGGCTATTTGCCAATGGAGCACCTTCTCAGGATCAGCATCAGAAACATTTTACAATGTAATGTTCATTAGAATTTGATGTTATGTATTTTTTCTAAACAGTACCTATATTTACCTCGTTTCCTAACATTTCTGTTAGGAAAACTTATTTGAACTTAAATCAGCTAATAGGAAAAAAATGAACTCATGATACCAAAATCCCACAAAATATCCAACAAGCATTGCCAGCTTTTGGCAGATGAGTTACTCTATTCATGATATTCTATTCCTATTATTGCCTTTTCACTTTTGTGTACCCATGATAGGGTTATACCTATGCAAGCAAGCATACTATCAGCTTAATAATTTTCAAATTTCATCAATAGTCAAACCCCACATGAACTAAATTATATGAAGTATTTTAAGTATTCAGAGTCAACAGAAAAAATATGGCAGGGAATATTAAACAGAAAAAAGGAACTTTTTTCCAAAATGGAAGTGATACAAGCAAGATCTCAATGATATAATATTAAGAGGAATATTGTTTTGATATGCTTTATACATTATATAGGCACAATATTTACAAAATAAAAATATCTGCCTTCCTCAATTTCTCTTTGCTATGTTTACCATATCCCTTGCCTCTCAATTATTACTCAGCTTTGTTGTTCAATATTAAGTTAAGAAAAAAACAGTTAAAGGGTTAAGGCTCTTCCCTTTAATTTCACCTGAATATTGGACTGTAGCTTACTTTCTTGATATTCCCTGGCTGAGTATTTTTCTACATCATTAAGTTCCATTTCCTATGATTAATGGCACTTTAAAAATGTCAACACAGTAATCAGACAGATAGTGATACTAATGCCCTCAAATCCTTTCCTCTGAGGATGTCTCTGGAATACAAGCAGGGAAAAAGGAAACCGTTGGAGGCTTGTCTACAATCAGAACTGGGATGTATCCCATTTGGTGAGTTGTGGTGTAATCATAAAAGGCCTTATTGTGGCGCTGTTGCGTTTAGCCATAAAAGGCCTATTTGGTGACAGTCTGATAAATAATCTGGTTATTTGGTGGAGAAGTCTCTCTCATCTCTCATTTAACTAGGGCATCTCTTTGGATTCAAATGTGTAATCCTCCTACATTCTCAGAGCCATATTTTTGGCCAAAATCAGTTTCTCCAAAAGCCAACTCATTCTTTTGATAAAGTATTTTGGTTACTGAGCTAATTGAAAGACCAAGGAACTGGTGCTTGGTCTCCCTTTTTGGAAAGTTTTCCATCTGAAATGGTGGCTAGTGAGATAACACACTCTAAGTCTGTGTCTCTGGCTTCTCCAGCCCACCGGGGAGGCAGCCTGTATCTGTTAGTGCTGATGGATGGGCAGTAGCACATAAGGGCCCTGGTGACAGGGAACAGCTGCTGAAGCTCTGACTGACAGGGCAGATGACACATGACAACCTCTGCCCGCAGCCAACTTCCTTGCACAACCTTCTCAATAATACATGCCCTGCTGAGCAGGCTTCCCTGGTATTTACCCTCTTGGCTTGACTGGTCGGCAACTGGCTAATTAGCAGAACATCTTTCAAATCCCCAAGATTCTGGCTTACAATCAACTGTTAAAATGCCAAAAAAGTATATTCATAGGATGTAAATGTATAACCTTGAATAGCAGTTTATAATGAATAAAAGTAACTAAATGGTAGAAAATTTCCAAAGCACTGTACAAGTCTTGGCCTCAGTAACAAAAATACTGGCTCAGGAGGCCACTTGGAGTCATAAGGTTGTTTGTGTGTGTGTGTACTAACTGCTACCAAAGTCACTTCCATATAAAGAATTCTGTTTATAGTGTTTACAGATGTAAGAAAATTGGTCTGTTTAACATGGGCACATATTTCATATATCATTTTCATTCTCACACACATAAGCCTGAGGGCACTGGTAACTGAAATCAATAAGAAAGCACCAAATTGTGCTCCTAGCTAATGCCTTATATTGATCAATCCTATTTTTAAATGATTATAGAACAAAGTCAAATGCTCTTTTATTTTGAAAACTTTCTAAAAGTTACAACAGGGTTGCAGAAAAAGGAAAAAGGCAAACAGGAGGAGTGAGTGACCTTAAATAAACTGGGAATAGCATTCAGATTGACCTTTCCCATATTGGGCTTCAAATTATTCAACTGTAAATGACAAGAAACAATGTTTTACTCTCAGATGCCACTCAATAAACATGTACTCTTTCCATAGCCTAAGAAAAATTTGTTGTATACATTCTGAATTTTCACTCTAAAGTTGAGTGTGGTAATACCAATACAAAGTTTCATTTTAGAATTAAGGATGAGAACTAATACTTCTATATAAGCTACTTTCTTCCTCAAAAGTACCATATAAAAATACATTGTACTTTATGGACATAGTGAATAGGTACTGATATATATGTGAACAGGTAATGGTAAGTATGTGCCAGGTATTATGTTAGTACTTGACAGATGTTTTCATTTAATCTTGACAATAATCTTAAAAGGTGGGTATTATAGCATACTGAAAAGGAAAACTGGGGTTTAGGAAGGTTAAATAATTTGCCCAAGGCTAAACAGTGATTTGTACTAAGTGGAGTTTCAGATCATACACACCAGCATGTGTCTGTTTATAACTTGCAGTTACATCAAAATTAAAGTGCTATATTTGGTCAAGATATAAAAGACAACACTTTTGGTAATATTTCACCAACATAATTTAATGGCAGTTTAGTTTTAAACATTAGATGGGTTAACACTAATAAGTCTGGCAGAGAAAATATTACATAAATGCATTTAAGTAGACAATTCTTTCAAAAGTCAATGAGTTATGAAAGTCATAGTCTCATTTTCTCCATTGTCTCTGGGAGGCTTTTTCAGTTTGCTGAGGACTGCTGTCTGAGCTGCTGTTTTTATTTAATATGTAATTTCATCCATCTTACTTAAAGTAAGAAAGTAGCATAAATGCAACAAATAAGCACATCATGTTCTTTTAGCACACATCTGCACAAAGTTAAAATACAGACCTTGCAGCAGAGATAATGCTAGTTTTCAAACAGAATGCTATATGACCTAAAATCATTGCTCTTTTCAACAGAAACTTGTTAAAACTGCAAGGTTATTATTTCCTTCAAAGAATAAGAAAAGTCTTGGTACAATTTTTCCTTAAGAATGAGAAATTCTCAAGATTCGTAAGACTTCAGATATTGCCATTCAGCTTTATGTAATCATTTCCAGCATGGAGAAAAAAATTTAGGAGCCCAGGGCGCGTTCATTACATTAAAGCAACACGACACCCCACAGAGCACAGAAGAACCATGGTGATGCAACTCTGTCACTTTATAAACAACTTAATATTAGCAGTGCTTTGTAGGCCAATCACACAGGACTCCTAATGCCACAAAGACCAGGCTGCAGAGGCAAAGTACTCCTTGTTGTCTCTCCACTCTCAGCACTTTTAAGAGACTTTTGTACTTGTTTATTTTTATCCATTAGTTTTACTCAGTTTTAAATTACATCAATAAACAAAACATTAAATGCAAGAGCACAGTCATTTTAGAAATAAGTAGGTACAGATCAAGCAGGCCATAGTTTGTATAAGTAGACATTCAATGATTTTAAGAGAGAGCTTATGGTCTAAGAGAAAACCTGGCTTTCTTACCTGTGAGTGTAGATTAGGCGGTAGAGTTGAGTATTTGCTACACTATATACCACCAATTCTCTGCATTTAAGAAAAATCTACTTCTCGTAATCTTAAAGAGTAAATACAAATTTCAACGTGCAAAGGAGAAAAACCCACTATTGCCTTTGCACTGTCTACAGGGAGCGGAGTTGACACAGGTGAGCACATAGCAGCAGACATTTAATTTGGCTTAAAGGAGTGCCAGCTTAATTAACCACAACTGCTGTTTCAGCAGTCAACTCAAAGGAGCAGCAATGTGAGTTGCACTTTAAGCATCATCAAAGAATCTTTTCAAACTTGTAAACCTCTTTGTTAAAACTGAGACACTGAACTGAGCCAGAATCTTTAAAAATCTTAGCTGGTGCACAAGTAAATTCAAGTAGACTGCATTTATGGGAAGGCCCACAGAACAACAGACTGTACTGCAGAACCTGGTAGGTAAGTGAAATAATATTGAAATGGCTTTTTTTTTCCCATATAATCAACCACAGGAAGTTATAGCAAGTAATTTTTCACAGAAACATAGTTGACTGGTTTTTAAAAACTTAACATACGGCAGATAAATGTTAAAAAATGTAACCATTTCAGAAAAGGGAATGGGATTGTCCTGAAAGCCCTTACAGACTGAATTCAGAGTACAGTTTTAAATAGCAACCAACAATCTGGGCAGCAGCAGGGGCATTTTCAGCATCATTGGCCTGGTACCATTTGGAGTGTCTTTAGAGCACCGCCTGCATCTGTGAGTGGCAGGAAATACAAGAACTGAAAATGAGAAGCTGTCATAGATTAAGGAATGCAGTGTGTCTTCCAAAAGACTTGGTCTATAAGCATCAGTCTGTTACCTGCTTCTAACCTCTGAAGAACTTACTATAAATGTTTCCTTCTTTTTCAAAAGTCTTATACATACATAGAAAATGGATACTCCATGCATGTTGGATTAATTGTATGTAGGAGAACATATTCTTCAAAAGCTGTTTTATTTTATTTTAGCAATTTAGTACAGGGAATTAACTTTACCAAAAAAATGACAGAATGTGCTTACAAAGAAATCTAGAAGTTTAAGGTTTAGGATGATCTTCTTTTTAGAAATAGTTGAAGACACTGCTCATATAGTTACAACAAACAAAATATCTCTGG